TGAAAAGCAATGTCTGGGCATTCTTCTGAAGATGTTTTTTAATTAGATTTTTAGCCGAAAATTACAGGAAAATGGACTGATGAAAGTTTTGGTCCGTTTCAGCCTCATCTCATCTGTCCATGGAAGAAAAAGTCTTGTTTCGATTGAGTTGTCCTCAGAGCTCTGTCTCTTTATTCGCTGCATCTCCAGGTCTCAAAACATTTCGTAAAATCTGGCGTCGACTTGGTTTCAACCCGGTTTGTGGAGTGCTTTCTCCAGTGCGTTCACGAGGAAACCAACGGAAGGTACGACGAAAGGCTTCGCGAAACTCTTGATTTCGAAGGTAATATATTAATGGATTGATTGCTGATGAGGTAAAAGCGACTGTCCCAACCCACGGCCACACAACAAGGTTCAACGAACAAATTCTAGCCCAGTTATTTTCTAAAGCATATTTACATTCAACAAGCAACAGAACTAAGTTGGGCATCCATGTGATAATGCAAGCACCCAAAACAAAACCGATTGTTTTGATAGCTTTAAGGTTTTGTTTAGTACGAAGTCTAAAACTGTCGCTGTTTATTGTAGGATTTTCTCCTGCTAATATTCTCTTAAATTGTTTTTTTGCGGATTTGAAAATACAAACGTAGGAAAATGAAACTACAAGTAATGGAATAACAGATATTATAAACGCAAGAAAAATCATCGACACAAAATAATTTATCATGGGCTCATAATCTACCAGAAACTCCGAGAGAGGAAGAATTAAAGAAAACAGCCACACCAAAAAAATAACTGTGTAACATCTTTTCTTTGTTACACTGACCTGGTAACGGAAAGGAAACCGAATCGCAATAAACCGGTCTACAGAAACACAACAAGTGTTGAAAGTGGTGGCGGCGGTCGTGTGAAGCCACAATATGTATGCAAAGTAGAACAAACTTGAGAGAACTGGAGGCTGAATCCAAAATCCAATAACGATCCACGCAGGGCCTACAACAAGCCCAACTAATAGGTCTGCTATTGATAAAGAGGCTAAAAAGCGGTTGGAAATTGTTCGTAGAGATGCATGTTTGTAGAACAACCACAACATAACTGCGTTTCCGGTTACAGCTGCAAAACTAGATAGAAAGAGCCACACTGATAGAAAGATGGATGCTGCGCTGCTGAGAAGTTCGTGAGGATGGCAAATATTCATTGCTAGGAGAAGAAAGGAAGAAGGCTTGGGAAATCCTTGAAATTTTCTTGTCCTCGCTACTGACCAAACAGGTGTTACTGAAACTTAAATAATGTTTTTGTATGAATCCTCATATTTGTTATATGCAGACATGCTTTTTATTGACAGGCACGTCTTATGGTAAAAGAGATGGATAAAGTGACACATCTGGGGAAAGTGTTTAAGGGTGTTTATCTTCCTTTCAGCAATCAAAACGAACTGACCAGCAAACTTAAAAAAAAAAACTTAATCGGTCTTCAGTATTGAGCATATTTACAATAGAAAAGATAAAGAAGTACTCCTGCCTCCAGAAAATGATTTTTGATTGATTCTCATTTTGCCCTTTGTGAGATAAAAAATGTTTAAGATAATATCTTAATATTTCATTGCCTCTCATCGACAATGAAAATGAAACTCACTCTTAAAATCTCTAGTGTTTCGCGTAAATAAAAAAGCTTGACAATAATTGAAAACAAAGTTTACCCTGAGATCCGGCTGCTTTTTTGACAGGAAGTCGATCAGAAACCTCTAAATTCTGGATTCTCATACAATTAACGGCTCTTGGTTAACGGTTACATGCAGTTTAACAATAATCACAAAAGATACCGTATGCTTAGGACTCGATTCCGAGCGAAGGAAATGATAAGGCGACGATGAAACTCTAAGTTTGGAGCCAATTGTGACAACTGAAAACACATGTTTTTCAAAATGAAAAATGACTCCTATAACTTATTTTAATAATTTATAATTCGTCATTTGAATATGTCATATTGTGTCAATGTGGTCAACAAGAAATTATAATGGACTCGTTTTCTGGCTAATTTCTCTCGTTCCCACTCTTCTACCATCTGTATGAACTGGTTTTTCCTAGCAAGTGTGGCTGGCACATGACGAGAGGGGAAAGACAATTCAATTGTAGAGGTTCCATCGTTTTTCTTTCCTTATGCCTGTCACTTACCCTAGTTTTCTTTCGCGTCGTACTCGTTCTCTCTGTCGTTAAAACCACAAAATATTTCTTACGAATCAAGCAATTAGTATTAACATCTATTAAATTCATTGCCTACGTATATTTAAATAAACAATTAATTAAATGAATAAATATCAAATACCAACTGGAGCAATTGTCCCAATTGATTTCGAGCCCCCATCAAATATATACCTAAAAGTAAGATATCAAATAACTTAAAAGAGGAATATTTTTTATCAGAAATGAGTTTACAAAATTGTCCTCCCATTTCCAGTCAAACTTACACTATCAACTTACACTTCGCTGGTTACAAAGCGTTAAAAGCCTACGTTTAATGTAGTGAAATGATTTTACACATTTAGGTTGTTTTGGCACTTTGTTCCAAGGGAGGCTTGAACCATAATCGACTACAGTAGACCTATAATCTTCTGATGCTTTGAGCCAAAGAAGTGATCTGCAAATAGGGTTTCGCTTATACTGATTCTGTAGAAGCCAACTTCTGTTGCAATCTTTTCATAAGATTATTCGGAAAAGAACGTAAGCTTGGGAACGCTTGAAAATTTCTTGTCCCCTCCTCTCACTAACCAGATGTCTCTGAAACTAAAATGTTTTTGTATGAATCATAATATTGCATTCGTGCAGATATGCTTTTCATTAACGAAGACGAATCGATAATCTGAGTCTAAACTTTTAAAATTCCTCAAAACTGTGATAAAGATATCAAGAACAACACCTTTCGAAAAAATGTTTCGAAATCGTTATCAATGTCTAAATAAATGAATTTTTAACGTTAAATGTGATTAGTGACAGTAAAACTGGAAAAATAGATAGACATATGAACGATAAATAAATGATATGTAAGAAAAGAGAAATAAGAAATAACATAATTACCAATAATTAATGAATTCTTAAAGTACACTTGATTTATTAATGGCTCGTTTAAAGATAAACGTCTCATAGTGCTGGTAAAGTTCAGTAGAATTATCTCTCAGGGGTCCTTCCAGCTTAAAGATCCCAATTCCTTTAAGCTCTCCTATGATCAAAACTACCTTAGGAATACGTTACACCTCGTGAACAACAGTAGATCTCGACAAAATGTTGTTGCATGTTTATGTCCTTATGTGTCTTTAACCATTTAAGTCTCACTAGTGATCTAGGCTGAATTTTACTGACACTATCGGTACGATATCAAGCAGACAAGTAATTGGAATAAAGAAACATCAATTAGGGGATTATTGTTTGATCCAATTCCGAATTCTCCAAATTAACGTCACATTAATTATATGGCAGACATAAAGGAGAATTACTGATGAAATCTTATAGGCTAAGGCTTAGCTGATCATATTCCGACAGAGTACAAGGCTAGAAGTTGCCAAGTTACAGGCCGAGCAGTCTTCATTCTTTTGCAAATGTGAAAGAGATTAAAAGTTTTTCCTCGCTTTGTCTTTGCTTAGACATTTAAAAAAAAAGTATTCAAATTGCGTTATCTACCCTTTACCAATTTTGTTTTAAGTTCGACAAATCAATGGCAATCAGTAGCCGTTGCTTAGGAGAATGTTGTTGAACTGAAAAACAGTCGGTTGACAGAGAAACTTCTGGGATGGCCTGCTCGTAAATTAGACTTTGAAAAATATATTCATGTAGTCACTCTTCGAGGACCTCTTCAATTGAGACGAACAGTTTTAATCAACGAGGAACGTTGATTGAGCCTCCTGGAAAACTGACAACAATCTGATTTTGCTCATAGAGAAACAATGACACCAGGTCCTCTGTTAATTCAAACTCGGAATAGATAGAGGAAGAGGGGGGATCCGAAATTTGTTACTTTAAGAACATCAAATAACTTTGCAAATTATTTATCTGAAGTTTTTCACCTGCTAAAGTTAAATGGAGAAGAACTTTCATAACCACAAAATGCCTCACTGAGCGCAAAGTAGAATTTAACTGTTATCTTACTGTAAATATATGATGTCATGCACATTAGAATAGATAAAAATATCTGATGACAACCATTCAGGAAAAAGAGGACGGTTTTGGTACACTGATAAGGCACTAGTATGATTGAAAACACGAACATTGTTTAATGAGTATATAACATAAATTTAAGAAAGCCACAATGATTGAAAGGTAGACGTAAAACTGCTGTGTCCTTTTTCTGGGTGAGGTACATGTATCAGCAATAGATACTCTGTGTCTCAGGATTAATCTGAAAAGAAGATATGGGTTTCGTTTTCAACTGATCCCCGGGAAACCGACTTCTGTTTACAATTTCTTTTTTAGAGGTTTCTTAGGAATAACGAGTGAATTTTGCAAATTAATCTGAAAAATCTTTTGATTATGCGTTTGAACTGACATGATCATCCCAGCCAGGATCATTGAGTCGATGCTGAATAACTTTATATCTGTGAGCGTTTTCAAGAACAAACAAGAAATCACCTGAAGATATTTCTAGAGAAAGGTAAAAACCTGTTCTGCACTCTTTTTGCAAACATCTCCTAAAACATGGCTGGAGATAAGGCAACTGAGTAACCGCCTAACCAGATCTTAGAACTTAGGGAATGTCAAAACGAATTACACAGAGACAACCAATAAAGAATTGTTATAAAGAGGGTATTTTATTAGACTTTCACACGCTATTTTTACAGTAAAATGCACAAAAAAAAGTTGCAGTTCATTTCAAAATTTTTTATTAATGGCAGTCGTGTTTCCTTTGAGATGTCTTCAGAACTCTTCCTTTTCATTTCCTATATCTCCACAACTCAAACCATTTCTGTCATTTGGTCTCGAGTTGACTTCAACCTGGTTGTTCTTGTGCCTATCTTGCTACGTCGTCTGGGTAACCAGCGAAATGTACGGCGAAAAGCTGGGCGGAACTCTTTATTTCTAAAGTAATATATGAATGGATTGACTGCTGATGAAGTAAAAGCGATTGCCTCAACCCAAGGCCACACAACATAATATAGTCTCAAACTTTTATCCCAGTCACTTATCACAGTGTAATAACAATCAAGAAACAGGACAACAAAACTGGGCGTCCATGCGATAATACAAGCACCCAAGACAAAACCGATTGTTTTGATAGCTTTGAAATTTTTCATACTACGAACTCTGACATTGTCGTTGTATGTTGTAGGATTTTCTCTAGCTGAAATTCTTTTAAATTGCTTTTTTGCCGATTTGAAAATACAAATATAGCAACATGAGACTACAAGTAATGGAATAGCAAATGTTATAAGTGCAACAGAAATCCACAGCACTGAGACACTGATACTTTCCTCGCCAATTACCGACAACGTCGAGAAAGGAAGACCCAGTGAAAATAACCACACCAAAATTATCCCTGTGCAACATCTTTTCTTGGTTACTATGTCCTGATAACGGAAAGGAAACCGAATGGCAATAAACCGGTCGACTGAAATACAGCAAATGTTGAAAGTGGTGGTGACGGTTGTGTGAACCCACAAGCATTCTAAAAAGACGTTAAAAAGGTTGTGAAATGTTAACCACCACATGAATATGATCCAGGCAGGAACAATCACAAGCCCAACCAAAAGATCCGCTACGGATAAAGAGGCTAAAAAAAGGTTGGAAATTGTTCGTAAAGACTCATTTCTGAAGAAAAGCCACAACACAACTGCATTTCCAGTTACAGCTGCAAAACCAGAAATTGAGAGCCATAGTGATAAAACGATGGACGCTGCACTGCTGAGCTGAACGTGTGGGTCGCTATCATTCATGGTGGATGGCGATAGCAGAAGAAAGAAAGTAAGCTTGAGAAACGATTAAATTTTTCCTATCCTCTCTACAAACCAAACAGATCTTTCTGAAACTAAAGTGTTTTTGGCATGAATTATCATATCCCCCTTATGCAATATCCTTTTTTATTGACAGGCGCGTCGTAATGATATTTTAAAGCTTTCGAAAACGGTAAAGAGATGAAAAGAAAGACGCGTTCCTGAAAAATTTTTTAAATCTCTAGCTCGGTATTAATCCTTCCCTGCCTTCCATAATTGATAAAAAGAGTTATCGTTACGATTCAAGTGATTTTGTAGAAGATTAAGAGAAGATTAAGAACCAAAATTTATAGAAAGGTTTCCCTTGACGTGCACCTGTTTTATAATTAATAACGCGGGATGTGGACTAGAAAACTCTTAATTTGGATACTCTAATTGTCAACAACTCCTGGTTAACAGCTAAATTGTGTTTCGTGCGAATCACAAAAGTGGCCACATTGATTTCTTCCGAGTCAGCGGGCGAATTTGATGTTTAACGTTGAAGTCTGGAGGCTGATCTGACAACGGCTGAACACAGACGGCACGAAGTCGTTTTCTACCGTTTGTAGTAAACGTCTTTGTTTACAACCTCTCTATTTGATTATATTTCTCGTCAGAACTCAGCTACTGGACTTAAGGCAATACCAGTTGAATATTTAACGCTTCGTAGACCAGAAAACTATCGGAGTAACATTTCCCTCGTGGTCTAAAGACTTCTACCTTGTTTAAAGATGAACAATTTACTACGCCATTCTAATGTGTTTTTCGAGAGGCCTCAAAGGCATAGAAAATAGAAGTTCCATTCAAATTAATTGGCCGGTAAAAGACCCGAAGCATTCATTTTGGCCTGAAATTATCTCTGCCTTTTTTGTTTTGCAACAAAGTAGTTGTTTAAAATACCGGGGACCTCCCCGCTTGAGTTTGCTTAAATTACGCATTACGCGCAACACGCATCAAATTACCGAATATCTTACTAATTTCGAATTCTAAACTCAACACATTTACTTTCAACTTTGATATTCAGCGTTAAATTTGACATTTGGTTATTTACAATTTAAGTCAGTACCCCTTGAGCTGGTTTAGATTACGTGGAAAAAAAGCTTTAAGGTGTCACGCAGCAGCTGCCTGTCAAGGTGAAACTGTTGTTGATTTTCTTTAAACTTTTGCGAATATTTTTTGTATTGATGGATTGAAGAGGTTTGGACAAAGCCTTAAATCCTCAAACCTTTTTTTTTTTTTTTTAATTCGGATATTTTACATTTAACGCCCACCTTTTTCGGACCGATATTGACACATTACGCCTTCCTCTCAATAATTTGAAAAGCGGATATGGAAAACTTATACATCATTTCATATTCAGTAACATCTGTTCCCTTAAGAGGACACGCAGTTGCAAATTTCAGAAAATTCTCAGACTTATTTCTTGACCTCTGCTGTTGCCCTACAGCATCTTATCATGAATGATGATAGCCGCCCAAGCGAACATGTTAGCAGAGCAGTATCAATTATTCTATCATTGTGGCTCTCCATGTCTAGTTTAGCCACTGTAGCTGGAAATCCCGTTGTGTTGTAGCTGTTCTACAAAAACGCCGTTTTTGTAAAACAGAGTCTTTATGAACAGTTTCCAACCGTTTTTAACTCGTGAATTGCACGCATGCGCAAGAGCGAGTTGTAGATACGATGTGGGG